AAAAAAAAGAATGAAAAAAGAGTTATATTTAATAATAAAAAATAAATTAAATTAAAAAACAACTTGAAAAAACAATAGACAATATATTAATTCATCAATGAAACCTAGTATTCCTGCTATTTCTACTGTACTTTGTAATGGTATTGTATGTTTCTTGTTTGTATTATAATAAATGAAAAGTGTTTTATTTTACAATAAAAGAAATGTACTTTAAAAGCTTAATTTAAATAGTAATGAAGTACTTTCAATTTGATAAGAATGAAGAAATTTCACTTGGTGATTTCAATGTAAAATGAAATACTTCAATAAATACAAAATAAAACTAACATATCTTTAGCACACAGAAATTCTTAATAACCCAAAAACTATGGCATTCACCTTTGTTGTTAATCAAGAAAACCAAACTGCAGAAATTATTACTACTAATAAATTTACAACCCTCCTAAACCAAGAGCTCATTAAACAATTAACACAAATTGCCACGGCAGCTATAGATGAACCTCAAACAGTAAAAGATGCTGTTGACAAATTTAAAGTATACAAAATTCCTCTTCCTCCTACAATGGAAATGCCTTCACAATCAACAAATAAAATGGAAGAATGTGTAAATAGAGAACGTGCATTTACACCATTAAGAAGAATGACTCCAATCACACGTACATCTCCAAGAATGTCTCCAATTACTCGCACATCTCCAAGAATGTCTCCAGTAACTCCTGGATATGCTCAATTAGAACCAGAATTATCTACTAAATTACCTCAACAATCAACTTCTCCAAAGAGAAAACGAGCTATTACTCCTCACAAATTAAATTTCCATCAAACTATAGAAACTACTATTGATGACTCAACAAAACAAAAACTCATAAGTGTATTGAATAAAACAGGTTCAGAAGAACAACATTAACGTTTTGTCTTGTGTATCTAAGATCTTTTTTTTTATTAATGAATTCTTTTATATGGTATATTTTTTATCTTATTTTTTGGTCTTCTTTAAAGAAACACCATTTTTGAAAAGAATGAATTTAATAATAAACAATATTCTTTTGAAATGCTAAAGAAAAACAGTGAATCTAGAATGTTTAATAATTCAATCCATTTAAAAGACAGCACGATATGTTACGTATCTTCCTGCAGTTTCACTTTTACGGATAATTTTAACAACATCACCACGTTGAAATCCATAATACTTACTAATTGGATCAGATGTTAATAATCGAGGAAGTTGTGATTCTTTGACTTGATACTTCTTTAATAATTCTTGTTTTTCTTCAGGACTTAAAAGAATATGTTGTGGAACAAGAATATGATGAGTAACATTAACAATTAATTCATCTTCAAGTAATGCTTCCCATTTTACTTCTCTTGGTTGTTCCATCATTTGTTTAACTGGAGATGAAAGTTTTCCTCTATAAACAATAATAGCACGTTTAACATGTTCTGATTCAACTTCTGTTAAATACTTTCCTAAAACATCTGTCTTTAATGAAACTCCTTCTGCAAAGAAAACAATAATACCATCAGTTGCATCATTTTCTTTTACTACTTTTATAGTTAATTCTTTATGACTATTCGTGAGTTATCAATTTCTTAATTTCTATTGAACAATATCTTCTTATCACTTTTATTATATAACATTTAAGTAATTAAATATCTCATTCTCTGAAAAAATAAACAAACTCTACTCCTTCTCCTCCTTTATAAAATCGTTCTTTGAATCCTTCGAGTGTTGTATTATGATCTTCTTCACTTGTAATATACCCTCTGTCCCTAAGCATTTCTAATACTGTTTTCCATGCTCGATAGATATGAGTTACACTCTCCATTTAAATACCCTTTAGTTCTTTTTTTCAGTTTTTTGAAATTTTTAGGGTTTCCTAATTGAAGAAATAGTAAATATCAATTGTGAGAGAGAAGGATGATTCAGACTTGTCACTTGTCAATGTTTAGTGATTAAAATGAAAAGACGTCATCCCTTAAGAGGAAGTTTTTGTAATAGAAATTATCATTCTATGATGTTATTATTCATTTGTTTCATATTATTAAGTAAAGACGGATATGCATTAGAAAGTGCATTTGAAAGAGTATGTGATGGAAAAGCTGATGCGGTATTTTTATGGGTAAATGGAACTTCACCTCATCATTTAGAAGAAATGAGTAAATATGGAAGAACTAAAATAGGTGGATTATACAAAGATTATGGAACAATAAGATTTGGGTTACGTTCTATTATTGAATATGCACCATGGATTAATAGAATCTTTCTTGTGACTGATGGTGAAATACCTGAATATCTTGACATTGAAAAGGGAAAAGAGTCAAATCCACAACTCATTCTTGTTTCTCATAGGGATATCATGAACATATCAATCTTACCAACATTTGATAGTAATGTCATTGAAGGTTATATTCATCATATACCTGGGATTAGTAAATGTGTTTTATATTTAAATGATGATATGATACTAGGTAAACCTCTTCAGCCAGATTTTTTCATTTCAAAAGACTCAAAATTAAGAGTATATCATAATGGATTTATAGCACCAAACATTGAAGGAGAAAAAAGATCAATTTGGCATCGATCAGTTAGTCATACTAACACACTTGTTAATCAGAAATTCAGAAATGGAGAAGTTGTCAAACATCCATACCCTTCACATCATTGCTATTTTATGTTAACCAATACATTAAATGAAATGGAAGAAATTTGGATAGATAATTATACTGAATCAAGAGAAAATAAATTTAGAAAAGCAAATGATATTGTTATTTCATTTCTTCATGCAGCAACAATTGTTGAACAACACAAAGGAGAATATGTTAAACAAAAAAATAATTTTTATTTCAGTTGGTGGGGTGGAAATCATACATTAAATTCTCAGACAATGGATAGAATTGCAACAAAAAATTATTATTGTATATGTCTTAATGATGCTATTGCAAACGAACCAAACGCTGACCAAGAAATCGATTATTTATATCAAAGATATTCAGAAATTTTACCACATCCTTGTCCATTTGAGAAATTGTGATAATTTATACAAACTTTATTTTCTTATGAATAGTCACTATTACTATCCTTAATGGGTTTGATAGAAAGAATAAAGCAGAAATTAAAAAGTTATCTTTCCATAGATTTTAGTTTCTCTACTTTTATTTTCACTTTTTATTTCTTAGTTTAAAAGGAAACTATCAATTTTATTTATTTTTTATGCAAGATATTCCCAATAGAGAATCACCAATATTTAATGAAATAGATAGTACACCAGAAGAAACAGGAGATTATCATTTAAAATTATGTTTTTGTCCTTTTTGTCAATTTGGAATCAAGTCTATGGGATTAGATAAAAAAGAGAACAAAAAAATTATTTCATGGCAATTATTGTGTCGTTCAATTTTATATTCTCTTTCTGTTGTTAATGCTCCTCGTATTTATTTTTCATTAAAAAAAGATATTTATTGGTGGATTGTTGATCACTGGTATTGTTTTGGTTCATTACAACAATGTTTGCATTTCTTTCTATTTAGTTTTAAGATTTCTCATTAATTTAGTTAAAACATCTCCCTCAAAATGGAAAAAGTCATTATTAGATGCCTTAAGCCATTCTTCATTTTTTGAGTCGGGAACAGTCACACTTAAAAAGACAGGAATGTGGCGGTTGAACCAAATAGTAGCTCCTTGGGAACATGACAATTTATCATCAACTTCTCTTTTTCATCCCATTTCACTTCCTCAGCAACCACAGTTATTATCATCTCTAGGAGCTTTGAATGACTTTCATAAATCCAAAGAAACAATACATAAAGATGTGATTTTCAAAATGCCAATTGAAAGTACCGACACAAACACTCAAAATAAGACTAACACTTCTTTGTATGAAAAAATTACAGAGGGTAGTAAAGAAAATAAAGAGATTATTCGTTCTCATTGTATTGAAGCAATCAAAAAATATCAGATGGCTTATGATGAACTTGAAAATGAAATGAAAGGAAATATGCTTGATAACGTCACAATAAAACAATTAAATGATATAAAAGAAGTAACAAAAATGGCTGTATCAGTATTAAATATGTTAGACTCTAGACAAGAAGAACAAAGTTCCATACTAATTACTAATGTGTTAGATAAAAAATAGCAATAAAGTAAATAAAGGTGTTGATGTTTTAATACAAATAGAAAAAGATGAACTTGAAATCTACAAATGGAAAACAAGAATAACAGTCATGAAGTGATTGATCTCACTTCTGATAGTCTTGAAGAAAAGGCTTTAGTCAGTCAAAGAGAAATTAAAAACCAATTGAAGAAACCAAAAACTTTTGCACTAATTCTTAATAAAAAAGAACAACATCCACCAAAAGAAACACGAAAGTTTTATCCCAAAGTACCTAGTGTGTCTAAACAAAGTAAAAGTGAAACTTTCACGTATCAAAATGAAGTAACTAAGAAATGTGAAGGAATTGAATGTCCAATTTGTCTTCAGTTAACACGAAATGTAATGACAACTCAATGTGGTCATTTGTTTTGTAAATCGTGTTTGACTATAGTTTTAACATCAAGTGATAAAACACCTTTCTGTCCCATTTGTCATTCACAAATCAGTCCCGTCACATCACACCGAATTTATCTTTAGTACATTAACTATAATTAACTATAACAAAACTATTTATATTGTTTTTCTTTAAAACAAAAAAAATAAAAAGGGTTAAAAAAAGAATTAGAAAAGAATTTCAATAATAATGTCAAGAAGAGAAGAAATTGAAAAAGCAATTAATGAGCTTATTGGACAACCAAAAGAATTTGGAGAGGAAGAAATTGATAAGGCAAAGATTGAAAATGATGAAGAGCTCAAAATGAAGGATTCGTTCACAGTTGGTAAGATTAAAGCGGCACAAGGCATTGAAGAGGATAAAAAATGGGAAGGGAAAGTCGTTAATAAAGAAGATGTGTTCAATAATTTTTCTAAGTCAAATGAAGAAAGTGAAGAAGATAATTCAATGAGTGAAGAAGAAGAAAATTCAGAAGAAAATAAAAGTAATGAAGAAGATAATTTAATGAGTGAAGAAGAA